CCGTTGATGGCGTGGGAACCGTTGAAGTTGGCGTCAGCGAAGATGATACGGTCTGCTGTACGGGAAACACCTTCTTCGCCGTTGTAGCTGAAGCGGCTTGTGGAGCTCAGTGTACGTGCATCGATCACAGCTGCGCTTTCAACTGCTGTACCACCTGTGTCTGCTGCGTTAGCTGCATCATTGGCTGTGTCGTTGTCATTAACAATCGCCAGAACGCCTGCGTTGTTGTTTGCAGCGATCAATTCGTTTGTCAATGTCAGACGGTAGTTACCACCACCAACTACACCTGCATTGTTGGTTGTACCAACCAGACGGATTGTTTCGAAGCCGGATACGTTAGTCCATTCGGACGCGCCCAGTGCGATTGTGTCGCCCAGTGCTGCACCTTGCAGGTCGCCGTCGATGACCAGTGTGTCGAGGCCAGCGCCACCAACAACTGTGTCGGAGATGGTCAGACCAGCACGTGTGTCGAGGACGTTATCGAATATGACTGTGTCGTTCGCTGCACCCATCTTGATGTTTTGCGCGCCGTTGGCTGCACCACTTGTGGATACGCGAACGATGACGTTGACATTTTCTGCAGATGCGTCGATGTTGGCGGCAACCAGTTTGATTTGGCCAACTGTTGTGGACAATTCTTGTACGCCAGCGATGTTGGCTGCTGCGCCGCCTGTTGTGTCGATACGATACAGACCGCCGTTACCAGCTACTGTTGTGTCGAGGTTCAGGAAGAGGCCTGTGTTGACTGTTGTGCTACCAGCACCTGTTGCTGAACCCAGTGTGATGGTGCCTGTGTGGGCGCCAACGTTTGCCAGGGCAACTGTGTTGGATTCTGTGTCAGCATCGTGCAGTGTGATGTTTTCTACTGCGTTTGTGTTCAGAACGAAGTTGAAACGTGGATCAACGTTCAGACCTTCAGCGATTTTCACGGCCACTGTGTCGGATGCACCTGTTGCAACGGCCAGATTGGCGTTGATGGTGGATTTGTCGATACCGTTGGAGAATGTGTCGCTGTGGCTGATGGTGATGGCTGCCGCTTGAGCAACGTTGAGGTTGTTCAGTGTGAACACGGATGTACCAACAACTGGTGCGGAGTTCGCTGGCGCTGCTACGTTGGTGTTGGAGACGTTACGTACTGCCACGCCTGTTACGTCTGGCAGTTTGGTGAAGTCAACAACGGATGCTGCATTGTTCATCAACACTTGCAGTTGTTCAACTTTAGTGACGATGGAGGAACCTGTTGCACCGGCTGTGATGTTGCCGCCGTTGACGATGACCAGGGTATCGTTACCGTCGCCGCCTGTGATGCTGTCGCCTGTTTCTACTGTGTC